TGCTGATCTTGCGTTCGCCTGCCCCTGCAGCTACATGAATCAGGAGAGGCCTCTATCCTGACCCATGGACTTGGGATGTTCCAGCCTCTACAATCACGTGAGCCATTTCCTTGATATAAATCTCTCTCTATATTTATGTGCTTTACTGGTTTTGCTTCTCTAGAGGACCTAGCCTAAGACAATACCATTCCAGTGTTCTCTGCATTCTAACACACTGGCACTCTCAAATCATATAAAAATACCTAGCATTTACTGAAGTTTTGCTTTGTGCCAGGCTCTGGGCTAAGTACTTTACATGTACTGTCTCACTGAATCCTCACAAGAACATTAATAATTTGGTACTAGTAATATGCTGATATTCATTAGGAAACTGAGACTTAGAGAGTTTAAGTAACGTGCTCTAGGTCAAAAAGCTAAAAAGAAAAAAACCCAAACCAAACCTGTTGCCGTCTAGTTGATTCCAACTCATAATGACCCCACAGGACAGAGTACAACTGCCTCATAGTGTTTCCAAGGCTGTAATCTTTACGGAAGTAGACTGCCACATATTTCTCTTGCGGAGCAGCTGGTGGGTTGGAACTGCCAAACTTATAGTTAGCAGCCGAGTGCTTAACTACTGTGTCACCAAGGTTTCTTAAGTCAAGGAGCTAATAAGTGGCTTAATTCAGGTCTAACACCAAAACCCATTATCTTCACAGTTATGCTATACAGTCTGCAAATTGTAAAGCATACATGGAAGAAGTTCAGCCTCACTATAAATAAATGCAGAGTAAATTATTAAATACTTTTTACTTAAGTTAATAATAATAAAAAAGGAGCCCAATACTGCCAAGAAGCAGAAACATGCATTGTAGATAAGTGATATAATTAGCAATGTAAATCTTAATAGAGAGCAATCTGGCACTGTGCACCGAGTCATAAAAAAGTAAGACTGCACTTTAACCGAGCAACCCCACTTATGGGATCTACCTTAAGGAAATAATTGTGAATAAAGTAAAAGATATTTGTACAAAGCCATTGATATTTCTGTTAGTAGGAAACAGAATTGTCCAAAAGTCCCCAATGGGAAAATGTTTAAATCCTATTATTATAGCATACAGGAACTAGAATCCATGAGATCATTTTGTCCAAACTCCATTTCTTTGCCAATCCACCTTATTTTTCAGATGAAGCAACTAAAGCTCAACTGGAATGAATATTTTGCATTCATCAAACATGATAATGACCATGAAATATAAGAAAAGGTATAAAAATAGCCAGTGAAGAGTTAAATTTCCAGGCCCACTCCTTGACAGCTGTCTGGTATCTCAAATTTACTGCTTAGTTGGCGCCATGCTGGAAAACATTAAACAGCTTTTCTTGTTATGTTAAGCTTTTTTGCAGAATTTTCAAAAATTTGACACATTAAAAAATTTAATATTATTGCATGTTTAATCAACTTGAGCAGTAAGTCAAGTAGAAGACGTCAACACTTGAATTTCTTACACAATCTTCTGGCAAAGTCAAAACTTGTTAAGTAGCTTTATATTTCAGCAAGTCCTTGCACTAAAAATGTATGCTTAGTAAGGTAGAACTGCCCTCTGCTACCTGAAATTTATTTTTAATTTTATAGTTCACTTGTAGGCATACAGAGTTGAATGCAAAATTGTTTAGAACTTCCTACTTAGCCAAATGTCAAACATTGGGCACAACAAAGTCCCCCAAAGCCAACATACAGCATGAATTACTTACAGGGTGAGGCATAATACTAGCAAATGTGGGAAGGGGCAATATGCAAAATACAATTTTTAAAAGGAAACCTTAAGTATTTACCTTATAATGAGAAAAACAGAGAAGGGAAGGAAGGAATATGCACCAAAGAATACACACTTTACTTCATTAACATCGATTTGCACTTTATTTTAATTTTGCATCCTGAGATAATAAAACTTTATATCTGACAAGTGAACAACGACAGAAGCAGCAGTGAAGAGGCAGGTATCCTTCATCTTGGCACAGCTGTATATACGTTGAGTTCTTTCAGGGGAGTCACTCCAGTACTCAAGGGAGAAAAATTAATTCATTCCACAGGCTATGTAACAGTACAAGATGAATGAATGTTCTTGCTTTGGATGGACATGTCCACTATTCTTTTTCTGGTAAAGCTGTCCCAACAGGAATCCTCTGCCAAAAAATAAAAATCCTAGGCTTTTCAACTAGATATTTTGATTAATACCCATTTTCTAGCTATGTGGATTTCCTGTTCTTGCCGCCAAGACTCATATATGTGGTTAGTCCAAGGGTGATAAATTAGCTTGTAGATCATATCATTTCAAACATTTGTAACTTGTTTCAAAGTCCAGGCATTAAAACAATTTTAAACACTATTTGCTTACTAGAAAAATGGAAAATTAAGCCAAGATAAAAAAACAAACAAGATAAGCAGGAATAACAGTAACATTTGAGAAATTATTGCCTTGACTCATGTTGAGTTCATACACAAAACTATTTTAACAGACTCAGAAATTGATATTCAGTCCAATGCTAGAACATGAAATTATAACTTTTCACATTTGCAATCCTATATGTATGTATGTATTGTTTATACATATGTATCAAAATAAATTAGCTCAGTCATATCATCCTGAAACAGAAAAAAACAGAAGGCAAATTCTTACCTGAAGTAGCCCAAGCTAGGCAAAACACACACATACACCCCCCCGCCATGATCTAGCATTTCATTATTTAGGAACAAGGTAAGCAATCTGTGGAGAGGGTCAAATTATCTTAGTTCCTTTATAGTGGCTCCCAAGATTTTCACTATTATTATCCCTCCATGTTTTCAAGTATTTTAGCTACCAAACTGCATGTAATAATAGGCTTTCTCCATTTTTTTCATTAATCAAAGGCATAACTGCCACCAGTCATAGCTTCTGATCAGCATGTGATAACCAGTGTTCACAGATAAAATTGAAAAAATATACAAGCAAAATGCCAGGAAATTCAATGTTTTAGTTGACTTGTGCAGCAGGAATATTATGGGTAAATGTATGATTTCTAGTACATTTTTTTAAATATTGAAAAAGGCTCAAGGATGCTCCCACTGCTATCTTCATCTGCCCCAAATTGAGAATCATCTGCTCTTCCTCCCTAATATAACACTATTACCTATGTTTAACACATAGGGGATTGATAACAAAATTTGCCACTGAAAAAGCAGATCAACTGCAGCACTCATTCTGTAGGGTATCACTGAGAAAGAAAACAACATGGATTTAAAGGAATCTATTTAGAAATTACACCATTAAGATATCCAGTGTATCAGTCTACTTCAAAAACACACTAATATATGAAAAAATCCTCAATTCCCCTGTGAGGTAGGTCCAGATTATTGTCCCCACTTCAACGATGAGGACATGAGGTACAGAGGAATCAAGCAGCAGAGCTAAGAAACCAGAAGTGACTTGGATTTGAATGCCATACCACTTTCCTTTCCACCTATTATCAATTTTTTCCAATAGATCTTTTTGAGGGTGTGGAACTTGATAACACACTGAAGCAGATGCTGGATAGGCTATGAAACTTATCACATAAATGTCAAAGTGAGTCCTCCCATATCTCCATTGTTGTCACAGCTATAACTCTTGCCAGGATACCAGCTGGTAGCTGCATAGTCAAATTCCACATAGACAAAGCCCATAGCCTACAGCCCTCAGTTCCTAAGGAAACTACATTCATTCTTATCACTATGGAGAGGCTGAAGTCTAGGAGGCATCAGGGTCTTTGAGTCTGTGTGATATGAATACACATCAGATAGCAGTCAGTTGGCAAATACTGAACTTTTACAAAGTGCAAAGCACTGTGTTTCCACCAAGGGTAGTAGATCTGAGAATAATCATTCTGATATTTCTCAGAGTAAAAATTTCCTAAGAATTCCTGGAATTATAGAATCTTAAGTGATCTGTACTTTTCTGTCAAGCTCTAGGTTCAACCCCATGATTTTATAGATGAAGATACTGAGAAGTAATTTAAGTGATGCCTGGACACAATATTAGATCATTTCCTCATATAGTATGAATTTGACATAGTCCACAGAAAATGGACCATATTCTCAGGTTGCCATCATCAAAATAAAAAGACCAGATCAGATCAGGAAAGAATAATTTGGGTCAAGATAAGGTTAATGAGGTGTGTGTGTGTTTATTCTTCAATTAATTTTAGTCATGTAATACATGAATGGGTATTAGCAAAACTTATTTCTTTTCTGTGGAAAATTTCCCAACAGTTCACCATTTAAAGGAGTCTGAACAATGTGACAACTGTTGAAAAAAAAAAATTTTAAGAAGAAATTTATAGGCACAAGAGGACCTGACTGAATTTGAGCATCTTATAAATGAATTAGCAGAAAGTATTTCCATTATGTGAAACTGTGCACAATTTCTATATCCTCCTAGGTCAAATAGTAAATCTAATGAAATAGTGTTTTGGGACTTTATGTTCAAGTAGTGAAATTTTATTTAAGTGGAGGTTTACTTTGTAAAGAAAATAAAAACGTTAATGATTTTTTTAAAGCTCTCATACATTTGAAAAAACCCTATTTGTTCAAAGGCTTACAAATGTCATTGAATTTTACTTAAATTATGAAACAATAAGAAAAGACTTATTAAAAATGGTAGAATATTAAAACAAATATTAATTCAGTTTGATTGCTCAGTGTTTACAGGTCATAATAATATGAATAGTATGTGCAATACTTAAGTGGGTCTTAATAGGGCTTCAAAGACCATCATCCTTCCAATTTTTACTAGTACTGAGTGATGTTGTTGTTAGGTGCCGTCAATTCGATTTTGACTCACAGCGACCCCATGTGACACAGTAGAGCTGTCCCATAGGGTTTTCTAGACTGTAATCTTTACAGGAGCAGATCGTCAAGTATTTTCTCCCATGGAGCCACTGGGTGGGTTCAAACCACAGATCTTTTGGTTAGCAGCTGAGTGCTAATATATCACGTGACTGGGGGAAAACAAGGAAACAGGCTTTAATTAAAAATAAAAGAATTATAATAAGCTAGTGAAATACTGTTTTAGCTACTTGAAAAGGATGATTTTAAATCTAATAATATACTAATTTATTCACTCAGCTTCCTTCAGTATAATATCTTTGTTCAAAAACGACAAGGCACTTTTCCATCTACTTCTAAAACCTGTTGCCATCAAGTCGATTCCAACTTCCAGCAGCTCTATAAGACAGAGTAGAACTATCCCATAGGGTTACCAAGGAGTGGCTGGTAGATTCAAACCACCGACCTTTTGGTTAGCAGCCGAGCTCTTAACCTACTTCTAAAGTTTGACTATAATGGTCTGTTTCCTAAGTTAACACAGAGGGTAAACAAAACCCAAACCACTTGCCATAGAGTCAATTCTGACTCATGGCAACCCCGTGTGTGCCAGAGCAGAACTGTGCTCCATAGGGTTTTCAATGGCTGTGATCTTTTGGAAGTAGATCACCAGGGCTTTCTTCTGAGGTGCCTCTGGGCAGATTCAAACTGCCAATCTTTCAGTTAGTAGCTGAACACTTAACCGTCTGTGCCACCCAGGGACTCCAACATAGAGTGTAGAAGGGAATACAGAGTAGAGGACATGTCTAGGATGAAGTTAATAAATCTGTAAATGACTTACCCATATTTGTTATTAATACTGCACATGCTATTGGCCTTCTGGAGAAAACAAGCTTAAAAATGACCAGTTGGGTCAATATATTAATCCAGAATCTTGGGCCAAATGAGAAGCATTAGAACATAAATTGTAAATAAGAAGAGAAACTCAGACTGGAATGAAGATGAAGTGGCACACATCAGGAATTATAGTCCTTATTCACTGGAGCCTAAACCACCACTATAAAGGTGAACCTGAAAAGAGTTAGTTAGAGCCTGTTCTATTTTATCCACAATTTAGGTGTTTAAAAGGGCAATGGGGTTGGAGACACAAAGAGGAACGTTAGAGAACACTTTTAACTTATAATTTCGAAGCCTTGTGAGATTTATATACTTTGGCAAATACATGTTATTTAATCTGGAAATTACCACAGCAGATTTCATAAAGGAATATTCTGTGACAAAGAAATTCAAAATTACTTTCTTCAATCTGAAAACAATTTTCACAAAAATATTTTACTAACCTGATGGAAAAATTTAAGTATGTTCTATCCTTAGGATAAAAAAAAAAGGCTTCAAGGGGGAGAATTAATTACCACAGTGTGTTCTGTCATTTCAGCATTTGCTGCTGCCAATTTTATTTAAGGAATACAAATCCCCAAATGCACTCCAAAATATCCAACTGGTAATCAGCTCCCTCCAAGGAAAAATAGTTTGAAAAAGCAGTCATGTAATAGAGAAAAAAGAAAATTGAGTGTTTTCTGGGTGGTTCAAGAAAATAACATGAACCAACTAATATAATGAACAATAAAATAATATTTAAGAGTGATTAGAGTTCGTTTTAAAATTAAGTTTACATATGCTGTCAAATGGTTTGTATGACAAATACTATTGTTACTTGAATCATACTCTGTCACCTCTAGATGCACTCTATTCTTGTCTCAATATTTGTTTAATGGAAACAATTCACCGCTTCCCGCTGTTCTTCGAGCAAAAACCAAGTGTGATTTATATATGGCAGAAAAAGTTACTATGACCACCACATGACCAAATTCTAAGTTTACAGGAAAAAATGAGATTTTAATGGTTGACAAAGTAATAATTCTACCAGTGATAACAGAAATTTTGTATTATGCTGGAAATCAATATTGATAATAAAATATCACAGTCTGAAGCATAGATCTGATGCTATCAGCTAGGACACAAACCACAGATACAATTTTTCCCTGATCTTAGCTGTAAAACAAGATACTTGGTGTGCATTTCAAAGGTTTCCATCCTGTCTATAAAAATACACCTTCAATTTTATAGCAGGTAGACACATGATATTTGCAGCTATAAACAATATATTAAGAGAGATTTTGGGTGGCTGGGTGGCATAGGAAAAATAGTGTTGTACAGAGGAAGGTGGAAAAGTTTTTTTGCAATTATAATCACATATCAAATAGTGCCTCTTTTTCCCCTCTTCTTTTACTGGTCAAGGACTGTGGATTCCAAATTAGGCATACATTTTTAAAGTAGCTTAAAAAATCCTGACCTTGTTTGAAGAAATGATTGTTCTCTTCACTGGGATGAATACTGCCCAAAAAGTTTACTAAAAGAAATAAAAGTAAGATGACAAATAAAATATTATTCAGTCCCAGATACTTTTAATTTATTTTTAGCACTACGATTTACAAATAATGCCTACATACAGGCATATATTTGCATGTGAATTAACATGATATAAAACTTTAATTACATTAAAATTTTAAATACTAGAAGAATAAGGGTGAGGTGCTCTCACTCATCTTAACTGTGAAGAGAAATACCCACATACCACTGAAATGGACACGTGTGGTAAATTTATAAAGTAAAAATACTTTTGTCTAAACACTTGTCTTCCCGCTTTCCTTAATAATAGCCAAATGTTTAAAAGAGATCCACAAAAAGGGGATTTAGAATATTTTGTCAATTATGAATAAGCCACTATATCTTCTTTAGGTGCAGCTTCTCAATTAGCTCTATTTCCCAAAATAGAATATCAGAATTCCGAAGGGGGTTAGCAGTGGCTTTCGTGGGGGTCTAGGCACTTCCTAGGACATCTAAAATCTCCAAATACTCCTTAAAGGGCATAACTGTGTATATTTTCAAATGGGAAAAAGGATACATAAGGCTAAATAAATGAAGGGTGGTGAAGCTGTGAAATATATCAGATGCCAAAGGAATTCTTTTGGACGTAGGAGTGGGGGACAAAATGAGGATTATTGAATTAAATGCAAAAAAAGGGGTTCTTGGTTTCAGGTGCAATGCAGAATATCTGAGATAAAAATTTCAATTTTAATCCACTTGTTACAAAGGGCAAACCTGCCCTACACCTGACATTTTTAACATACTTATTATGGCTTTGCCATAAAATGGCATGTTAACAGCCTATACATTCAAAAGGATGCTTGCAAACATCGTTCATATTAAAATCTATGCAGAATTGTTGGCAATACATTAAAAGTAATATTACATTCTGTAAACCATGGCATACATATTTTTACATTATGCAAAGAGACAATATTTACAAGTCTTTAGATGTTTAAATATTTTACCATTAACATAAGTGATAATTTAGCAAAGTGCAGGACAAAAGCAGTGCTATTATTTGAATGTCCTTTAAAAGCAGATTAGAGCAAAAACATTTCTAAAACCTACTAAAAGCTTATTTAAATGTACCCAGTAAGGGATTACAGAGCATAAGTAGCCTAGAAAAATAATGCATAATTAGAAATAGTATGAAAATTAAAAGGCAGCATGCTAGAACAAGTTTTTTTTTTTAAACATCAGCACTGATGTTTCATATTTAATGGCAACTATATATATATGCATATATATGTATATATATGTATATGTGTGTGTCAGTGTATATTTATTTAAAAATTAAGAGTGCAAAACACAAGCCTCATTTAACATAAAAAAGATGTGCAAATTTTCTTCTTAAACCAACACAAACAAAAGAGCAAGGAGAATATTCTACCATTATAAAGAATAATTTGAACAGAGCAAAAAGAGACTATCTTCATTCCAAAATCATCTACAAGGCACTAAGGGTAGGAAATGACAGGTAACACAGAAGTGACTGAATAAAATTCCTCAGTCAGGACGGAATATGGGATATTTTGGTAAGAATTCTATTAGTATTACCTGTAAAATAAAAAGAAACAAGAATATATTGACAAAACAATTTTCATTTAATATAATGTATGCATAACCTAGAAAGTCTATAATTATTTCTCACAGGACTACATTTTGATCCTATGCTATAAAGTAAGTGAAATATATGAAACAGAATTATATGAAGAACTTACCACAAATTATTTTTAGATTGGAAATTAAATTTGGCAAACATAACCACTTACTGTAGCTAATAGTTTTTATTGCCTGATTTACAGTAAGTATTTGTTTAAGTTCAGAAAAGCAAACACTATTACATTATTATGACCTCCCTTATTTTTAGCAAAGGGATTAAAACTGTGCTAAACAGATATGAAAAGATACTTTTATCTATATTACATCTATAATATTGTATCAATTAAAGTAGCTGGTATTGGTTGAGTATTACTACCTTTTACAAGTTATTTGTGAAAAATAATAAAGTGTCCAAATGGGTTGATTACAACATTTTAATGATAGAGAGGTTTGGAAATACAATAATAAAAACTTAATATATTATTTTTGAAGGTTTTATCAATAGTGGATTTTAGATTTGTGGTCACTTGTGGTTTTTTCCCAAAACTATTCAAAGGAGAGAGAGAAGATGCAAACAGAATGTTTTATTATTAAATATATACTGCATGTCAGCAACATGAGCTTGGATAAATTTAATATTCTTTTGAATATTAATGATGCTGAACTTATCACACTGAATATATGTGAATCTATGTTTTATGACTAAGATCACATAAAAACCAAACCAAACTAATTGCAATCAATTCGATTCCAACTCATAGCGACCCTATAGGACAGAGTAGAACTGCCCTATAGGGTTTCCAAGGAGTGCCTGGTGGATTCAAACTGTAGACCTTTTGGTTAGCAGCCGAACTCTTAACTGCTATGCCACCAGGGTTTCTGATCACATAGCCTCCAGTAAAACATTTAGAACCTAGTTACTTCACTCAAAGTTAAAAATCAGACAAGAAAAAAAGGCAGAAGTATGAAATGAATGCAGAAATCCAAAGTCAATTCATATTTTATGCAAGTTTTTACAAGATTATATTTTGTTCAACAGTAGCTATTCCCATCACCATATGCTAAGGTTTGCTCCTGTGTTAAAAGGACACTAAGGTAGTGAGATGTTTTTCATCTGAGCTTATTAGCTGAGACTTTTCTAAGATCTAAAGCATTGCTAGCTTTCAAGATATTTTATGTTGGCTACAAATTTAAAGAAGGTGGAAATCTCTAGGTTCCAACTGACAAAAGTTCAGGCTGAGGAGAAAAAAATGTAGAAAGAAAATCTTAAAAATGATATATCAAACAAAATATTACATTTAGAATGGAATCTAAATAATATAACGAAAAACAGCTGCATACTTACATACTCCATCATATTGCTAGTTTCACATTTCCTTTTAGTCAACTTCCAGTGCAAAGCAAGCTAAGAAAGGAAAATGTATAAAGTATTTTGATATCAAGTTATACTAATTACAACTTCTACATCTGAATAAGTCACTGAAAACAATCCAGGAATAAACGATACAAAACATAACATTTAAAAATCCTTGATAAAAATATATATTAAAAAGTATTAGTTCTCTAATCCATTCCTTTGCTGGCTAGAAAAATTTCCATTTAGTACTTGTTTTTTCAATTTAAAATGCAAATATATAAATGGGGCACTTATTTGCTTAAACTTTCTTACCTTGTGATATAATCTGTTATTTTCCCATTCTAATAACTTCTGAATTGATCTTCTGGTCTAAGAGAAAGGATCACACTTGTTACAAGATGAGTTGAGGAGCTATATAAACTGTATATCTATATGTTTTTTTGCTTACTTGTAAGATCACATTATTTTTTCCTCTTGTTTTTCTATTAGAAATCAGAAAAAAGTAATCTAAGAAAAGAAAATGCCTAAATAGGAGCAAGAGATTGTATAATCATTATAGTCACAAGATTATGTATATACATATATGTATACATATGTATGAGGAGCCCTGGTGGTGCAGTGGTTAACAGCTTGGCTGCTAACCAAAAGGTTGGCAGTTCAAATTCACCAGCTGCTCCTTGGAAACCCTATAGGGCATTCTACTCTGTCCTATAAGGTCGCTATCAGTCGGAATCGACTCGATGGCAGTGGGTTTGGGTTTTTGGTTTTTTATAAACCCCATTGCCATGGAATCGATTCCGGCTCATAGCAACTCTATATGTATATGTACAAAGAGAGAGAGAGTTCCTGGATGGCTCAAATGGTTAAGCGCTCGACTACTAGCCAAAAGGTTGGTGGTTCAAACCAATCCAGAGGTGCCTCAAAAGACAGGCCTGGTGACCTGCTTCCAAAAGGTCACAGTCTTGAAAACATGGAGCACACTTCTACTCTGACACACGTGGGGCTGTCCACGAGTCTGAACTGACTTGACGGCAACTAACAACAACAACATACAATATATGTTAGGGATTTTTAAGAAAACATTTTATTGTGTTTTGATGAAAGTTTACACAGTAAATTAGGTTCTCATTTAACAATTTCTATATATACTGTTCAGTGACATTGGTTGCATTTTTCACAATGTGTCAACATTGTCATTATTCCCATTCTGGTTGTTCTGTTTCCATTAATCTAGCTTCCATGTCCACACTTATGTTCTCATTTTTGGTCTAGGGTAAATGTTTACCATTTGGTTTCATTTAGATGATTATTTAGAGAAGCACGGTACTCACAGGTGGTATTATTTATTTTATGAGCCAATCTGTCATTTGGCTGAAAGGTGACCTCCGGGAGTGGTTTGAATTCCACGTTTAAAGGGTATCCCAGGGCGATAGTCTCGGGAGTTCCTCTAGTCTCTACCGGTCCAGTAAATCTGGCCATTTTTTAGGAATTTGAGTTTTGTTCTACATTATTCTCCTATTCCATCTGGGACTATCTATTGTGTCCCTGGTCAGAGTGGTCAGTAGTGGTAGCTGGGCACCATCTAGTTCTGGTCTCAAGATGGTGAGGTCGTTGTTCATGTAGACTATTAGTCCTGTAGACTAGTTTCTTCTTTGAGTCTCTGCTTTCCTTCTTTCTCTTTTGTTCCAGATGAGTAGAGAACAATAATTGTATCTTAGATGGCCACTTGTAAGCTTTAAGACCCTAGACCAAACTAGGATATAGAACATTACCTTTATGAACTACATTGTGCCAAGTGACTGAGTTACCCCATGAGACTATGGTCCTAAGCCCTCAAACCCAATAACCCAATCCCGTGAGGTGTTTGGTTATGTCTAGGAAGTACCCATAACTGTGCACATTATGTGCTTTATTTTATATATGAATATATATGCAGCACTCATGAACACATATATATGTATAGATATATATATATACACGTGATTGCAGATACATCTATACATGCACATCTGTATATTCATATGTGCCTTCCTATACATATATATGCATAAGTATCTATCAATGTAACCACACATTTTTTTTAGTATTATTACTGTTGTTGCAAAGTTATATATATTATAGCATTTACAAAATTGTCCCTTATTCTTGTGTACTTCTTAGTGTGATGATTTACCTTGGTCAAGTTGTGCTGACTTCAACCTTATTCAGCATTGCCTTTCCCATCACCAAAACTAACAAGTGTCTACTGTGTAGAAAGTGAACATGTTAGAGATGCTTATATATGCTTTTCAAAACAAAATACGTACAAATTATTCTGTGTCATGAGTCTAGTCGCTGGACTACTGTGAAAATCTTAACACTACTGCAAATTTGAAATAGTAGTCTATTTAAGGATCTAACCTAGATTTTCACATATCTTTTCATAGGATTACATTTTCAATAAATATCTAATATGCCAAGTTAATCTGATTCCTCAGAAAATCCTATTAGCGTTCCTAGCATATCTGGCATATAGTGATCAGTCAAGGTCTACAGGTTGAATAAAGTACGCCAACATATATCAGAATTTCCACTGAAAAGAATACATTAAGAACAGTCAATGAGAAAAACCTTTGAAAACATTAAAATAAAATATTATTATGCATTTTCAATTCTCATTGGAAGAGTTTCACAAGGTTTCTGATAAACAGTGTTGATAGGCATTGTTAAATTTGAAAACTACTTCCTAAAATTGAAATTATTTACGAACTGGGTAGACCATACCTGAAATGATTTCCAAAGCACTAACATAAGAAACTATTCTACCTTTTCAACTATGTAAGTCAACAATCAATGGCAACTGAATCCAAAATAAGCAGTTATATGGGTTAATTTACAGTTAATGATGCCAGCTAGGTATTTTTAGCATATCCTAGGGCCACTGTATTTGACAGAATCTCTCTGAACAATATCAGATGATAACAAATGGATTGAATTAGTAATTAAAAATCTTTCCACAAAGAAACGCCTGGGTCCCTATGGCTTCAATGGCAAATTCTACTATACATTTAAAGAGAAAAAATACCAATCCTTCACAAATTCTTACAAAAAATAGAGGAGGGAACATTTCCTATCTCATTCAAGGAGGATAATATTACTCTGATACCAAAGCCAGAAAAAGAAAGACATCACAAGAAAACTAAAGATCAATATTCCTCATGAATATAAGCACAAAAATCCTCAAGAAAATGCTAGCAAACTGAATCTAGCAACATATGAAAAGGAGCATATATCATGACAAAGTGGGATTTATCCCAGGAACATGAAAATAAATTAAGATAATATATTACACTAATAAAGGACAAAAACCTCATAATCATCTTAGTAGACACAGAAAAAGCACTGGACAAATCCAATTCTCACTCATGATAAAAAAAACCTCCAAAATACTAGGAATAGAAGGTGTTATGGATTGAATTGTGTACCCCAAAAAGATACGCTGAAATTCTTTACCTCTGTACTTGTGAACTTGACTGTGTGGAAATAGGGTCTTTTTTTTTGAAGATGTTATCAGTTAGATTCACACGCACTCATAATGGAGTAGGGTGGGTCTCAATCCCATCTGAGTGGTTTCTTATTAAAGGGGAAAACAGAACAAAGAGAGAAACGCAGGGAGAAGACACCATGTGAAGATGCTTCTGCAAGCCAAGGAAGGCCAAGAATTGCTGGCAGTCACCAGATGCTAGAAGAGAGACATGGAACAATTCCTCTCTCAGAGCCCTCAGAAGAAATCAACATGGCTGATACTCTGATCTGGACTTCTCGCCTCCAAAACTGTGAGAGAATGATTTCTTTTTCTTTAAAATCACCCATTTTGTGGTATTTTGTTACAGCTCCCCTAGGAAACTAAAGCAGAAAGGAGCTTCCTAAAACTGATAAAGGGCATCTATGAAAAACCTACAGCTAACATCACATTTAATGAAAACCAGAAAAACCAAACCCATTGCCAAAGAGTTGATTCTGACTCATAGCAACCCTATAGGACAGAGCAGAACTGCCCCATAGGGTTTCCAAGGCTGCAATCTTTTACAGAACCAGACTGCCACATCTTTCTCTTGTGGAGCGGCTGGTGGTTTTGAACTGCTGACCTTTTGGTAAGCAGCTGAGTGCTTAACCAGTGCAACACCAGGGCTCCCTATTTTTAATGAAGAGAGACTAAAAGCTTCCCTGTAAGACTGAGAACAAGACAAGGATGTCTCCTACCATCACTTTTATTCAACATTGTACTGGACGTTGTAGCCAGGGCAATTAGACAAGAAAAATAAACAAAAGACATCCAGATTGGAAAGGAAAAACTAAAATTCTTCATTCGCAGATGACATAATCTTGTATATAAAAACCCTAACAATTGTTCTATAGCATCTTTGAACAAAATGTTAAGTAATGGTAGCTGGGCACTATCCAGTTCGTCTAGTTTCATGGCAAAGGAGGCAGTTGTTCATGAAGGCAATTATCCATGCATTCCATTTCCTCTTTTTATTCCTGTAGTCACTTCTATAAGTATTTGACAGAATTCCCCAGTGATCTTGTCCATAACTTTTTCTTTGTTGGGAGGTTTTTGATTATTGATCCAATCTCTTCACTTGTTATGGACTTGCTGAGATCCACTATTTCTTCTTGAGTCAGGGTAGGAAGTTTCTGTGTTTTAAGAAATTTGTCCCTTTCCTTTAAGTTGTCTAATTTGTTGGCATACAACTGTTGACAGTATTCCCTTATAATCCTTTTAATTCTGTAGGATCAGTTGTAATGTCCCCACTTTAATTTCTAGTTTTAGATATTTGCATCTTTTCTTTTTCTTTGTTAGTCTAGCCAAAGATCTGTCAATTTTATTGATCTTTTAAAAAAAACCAACTGATCTTTGACCTTGTCCAGACATTTCCTTTAACAGAGAAAATTTCCTCCTGTATGTACACCTTCAAGTTACTGTCTGGTATCCTTACTTTTCCTTTTGGAGAATTCCCTTTAGCATTACTTGTAGGGCCAGCCTCATGGTAACAAATTCCCTTAGTTTTTGTTTATCTGGGAATGTCTTAATTTCACCCTCATTTTTGACAACAATTTTGCTGGACATAGTATTCCTGGCCGACAGTTCTTTTTTTTCAGTACTTTAAATATGTCATCCCACTGCCTTCTTGCCTACATGGTTTCTAAAGAGAAACTGGCACTTAATCTTACTGAGGACCCCTTGTATGTGATGAGGGAGATCGACTTGATGGCAACAAGTTTGGTTTTGGTGTATGTGATGCTTCACTTCTCTCATGCTGCTCTCAGTATTTTCTGTTTGTCCTTGTTTTTTTGAGAATTTGATTATAATATGCCTCGGTGTTACT